GAGAAAATCCTAGTCCGACCTCGAGTTTGGTTCTTGTTTCATTTTTACAGGCCTGGTGGGGGGGTGTAGTTTGAGAAATTAACATATATGGGAATTTAATTTCTTTTATCAACTGAAAGTGAATGTTTGCTTATTCTAACTGTGGATTTTGATTCAGTGGCTCTAATTACATGAAAATTTAATAAATACACAAATTTAAAAATGGCGGATCCAATATGGCGGACCTAAAATGGTGGATTTTTTGAAAAATTTGCTTGGATTTCCTTGAAACTTGTTACTAGGGGGTTTTTCGGGTCGCTGATTACGAATTTGATGTCAAATTTTATAAATTCAATATGGCGGACCTAAAATGGTGGATTTTTGAAAAATTTGTTTGGATTTCCTTGAAACTTGTTATTGATTGATAATCGACAACTATTGGTTGACTTGGCATAGGAGGGGGAACTCAAGTCTGGATGGGCGTGTTCTCCCCTCCTAACGTTCTATATAAAGCAGTAGAAACACAATATTAATTTCAGTTCAGCATAAGCGTTACTCTAATTCGAAACTGTTGATGTAAGGGGAGAAATTAACAAAACGTTCTCGTATATTTTGACAGTTTCATTACATTAATTATTTATAATTAAAATTAATTATTTAATAATGTTGATATTATTTTATTGTTAATTTTTTTAAATTTCTAGATTTTTGATAATTTTTTAATTTAATTCTTTATGAATTAAAAAAAAACATAAGTGAATGAATAATGTCAATGAATTGAGGATGAAGAATCATTTGAAATGCGAATCTTGAAGAAAGTAGAAAAATTGTTCTATTATCCACCACATAATGTTAGTAAGAGAAGATTGAAATAAATCTCAAAAGCGCGCTGTAATTTCGTATGCGCGCGAAACCATTTAAATGTAAATTCCAAATGTAACTCTGTTTCTGGGAACTAGTGCATTATTTTTTATGGTACCTAGGCAAGTCTTAAAATTGTACCATACACTTTCACCGGAAGTGCATGGCGGCAGTATAAAGTAAGGCATGAGAAACTTTACTAAAACGATGGCTATCGCTCGCTTGCTTGAAGCGTTCGAAACTTCACTAGAGAGAAGAAAGTGTTTTCCCTTCTGATCGATAAACTTTATATATCTGAGGGAATTGCAATTTCGCGGTATTCCCCTAGGATGGATAGTGGTTGCCTCTTTATCGGACTTTTCACCTATACACAAGTCGTCTAGTTTGCAATTTGTTACTGGGAATTAAGATTTTTCATTTAATTTTTATTATGTACATAGTAAACATATTTCTAATGGAAAAAAAAGAATTAAATGTAAAAAAATTTTATATCAACTTTTTTTTTAAATTATTGATTACTCATAAAATGTAAGAGTTATGTAATTTGAATAAAATCTCTTTAATGGCAATTTTCGATTCCTGATCAATTTTCACGGTATTGACCAGAGTCGTTAATCTTTGGAATTTACTGCATCCTTACTAGCATATTCATATTGGAATTTTAGATTCGTTCGTGTAATAGTCCCGCATACCAAGTGCGTCTCTCAAGGACTAAAGTGCAGCTAAGAGCCAACTCTACTTGAGAATATGTACTCGATAGGATCTCAAACTATTGATTTTATTTAAAATGCAAATGTGGTATTAAAATTTATCATGTTCAATGCTACAATTACAAAATATACAGTCAACCAAGCTTTCCATTTATTCCAATAAAGAATTATCAAATATTGTCTCTTGGAAAAATATCAATATGGGAATTTACAAAAAAAAATTTGATATTTAATAATCTGGCGCAATCAGAATTTTAAATTAACAAAAAGTAAATCATAAGTACTAAAATAATGTGTGTTTAAATTTTTGAATCTTCACTGGTTATATATTTATATACGAAAGGTAGCATAATGTAGCACATTAATGGTACAATGTTGGAGGTTCCTAAAGCTCTTGGACACGCTTAATGTGTTTAATGGAGCCAAGGGAGTATTATTACCAATTTCAACACTTCTTGACTCTATGGTAGCAAGGGATATATTATTAAAATATATTAACCGAATAATATACCACAAAATTTTAACTTCAAAATCTTTTCTAAGAGATAAAATAAAATTTACAAATTAGCTTTAATAATTTTCAATTATTACTCATAGTAATTATAATTTAAAATTACGACTGACAATATCCTCGAAGGAAAATTAATTTTTTAATTAAAATGAAAAATTGTAAAGGAAGTACATGAATATTCTTTCGAAATATAGATTTCTAATTATAGAAAAATAAAAAAAAATAATAAGAAACTAAATTAATGTTTGATAAGAGCTATAAACAGAAATATTCGTAGGTGATCTTAACAATATATAATGCATAACTGACAGAAGATAACTCTAAATATAGTAAAACAATCATTCTTAATTCTTGTTTTATTGACAAATTTTTTTTTAATCCAATTTAAAAGTACAAACAAGTCAATATTTAATCTGCTTAACTTAGGGAAGGTTACATCTCGAAATTTAATAAATTCAATATCAGATTCCTTATAATAGAAAATGTCAAAGTTAGTCTTCTATTTAGTTTCTGAATTATTGAAAGTTTGAAAATAGATTTTATTCAAAATAACGGACAGAATAATTGCAAAGAAAAATTTAAGTAGAGTTTAGTTTTTTTTGTTTAGTAAATTTAATTTAATTTTTTTATTGTGGAAAATTCATATTTTTGTCCCAGTTTCTTAAAGTATAAACGTTAATTCTAGTGTGGAAACATTTAGAAACTGTATGGCATTCTTGTATGGCTGTTGGTAGTTATATATATATACACCACACGTGCATATCAGTAAACCTTATCAGATTTGTTTGACTTCCTTGCTTTCCATAAGGGCGGTAAGATCTTTTTGAAGCCACAAACATTCAATATGGTTTTCTATCACGCACTCTTACAATTCCAACAACCACCCTCATCTGTGTGATGGTTGAAGAAATATTTCATATTGGCTTATGATCTACGATCTCGAAAATGTGCGCGCACTCCGATCCCGGAAATTCTAAAAAGACTTGAATCTTTCAACTCTGCAGTAAAGAAGAAGAAGAAGAAGAAGAAGAAAGAAAAGTATGATATATAAGAATCGCATAAATTTTCTCACTCAACTTTTGTCTCTTTCGATAATAAACGAGAGGTGAACCGTGAAACGAAAAAATGAAAATGACAAAGAATTTTTCAATAGATTTTTCTTATGTTAATTTAAAGAGACATTCTAAAAAATACAACCACAGAGAAATATTTCATCTTGACAATCATTTTTTTTTTGAAGGGGAAACTTTTTTCTTTGCATAGTGCTGTTTTTATTAAAACTTTTGTATTCATATCTCAAGTAAAATAATTGAATTCGTTTTTTTTAATTTTAGATAATTCAGATTTGACTTTGAGGTTGTTTTCACCGAGTGGATAAATTTAATCCTCCGAGAGGTTAAAGGCAGTAGATATATTCTGCGTCTGCGCAAAATGTTTGCTTCTGCGCAGAATATATCTACCGCCCTTAACCTCTCGGAGGATTAAATTTACCCACACGATGAAAACGGCTTTTGTTTTCAAAAAAGAATTATTTTATTTCTCAAGAATGAAAACAAGATTGAAAAGTAATAGATCTGTCTGTGATCTCTAATAGATTTTCTAGGTGATTGCAATTTGTAATCTATACCTTTGATATCTAATAATGTGTACAGTTATTATTTCATATGAATTGACTTAGTAATTAGAAAGTTTAATAAAGGTCCACGTCTAGTAATTCTACCATTCGTGGACGCCGACTTTTTGGAAAGGAGTCTTTTGGGTTATAATTGACGGATTCTTAGATGTATTTATTGTCGTGTTGCTCAACTTTTTGAAATAACTTGATCGCTATTTCTTTTCCAAATTTATGTATACTTGATAGGTTTAGGTCTTTAAGTAGTTGTATATTTGTTACAAACCAGGGTGCTTCAGTTATGGTTCTGAGTATTTTATTTTGAATGACTTGTAGTTTGTTAATGTGAGTTTTTGTCGCAGAAATCCAAGTACCAATATTGTGGGTGTAGGCTGGTCGAATAACTGATAGATAAATCATTCTTTTATGATTTATACCAAGATGAGGATTTCTGAGAAGAGGACCTAGCTTTTGTAGTGCAATGAAGCCACTTTTCTTCATTTCTGTTGAATGATGATTCCAGATGAGTCTCTTGTCTATGTGTAGTCCCAGGTATTTTACAGAATTTTCCCAAGAAATTTTGCTGTCTATTACTTCTATTTTGTCAGGAGGTAGTTTGATTCGGTTAGTGTATAAAACAGTTTTTGTGTTTTGTCTTTGTTAATGGCAATTTTCCATTTGGTAAACCAGTTAGTAAAATTGTTTAAGTTGTGTTGTAGTTTCTCAATGGCTAACTTGGGGCTGCGAGATTGTGATATTACGGCAGTGTCATCCGCAAATAGTGATGTATGTGAATAAATTTCATTTTGTTGAGGGAAATCGTGAGTATATATATTGTAAAGTACAAGTCCAAGAACAGAACCTTGCGGAACTCCAGATTCTAAAATAATAGATAGAGCGTCGATTTGACCACATCAAAGGCGCGGACGGTAAAGAAAGACCTCAGTACCCCCAAGGAGCGCAGCCCACGCGTTGGAGGTTTCCCCTACCAGAGAACCGATTCGAGACCGATTACCCCTTCCTACGCGTCACTCGCTTCAGTATAAATATCGGCTATCTAGCAGCGGAGCGACATTTTTGTGCTCTTCCTCCTCGAGTTCAGTAAACTCATTAACCGTTACAAGTGGCAAATAGTTTTTTTAACTAATATTTTCTAAACCGTTAAACAAAATGTATAACTTTACATAAATGTTTATAAGAACATAATAAAAATTATTTTCAAATTTTTGCTTACTGAACATTTTTCAGATAAATGAAACCCTTGAAAATGGACAACTGTAATTGACGAATCCAATTTTGAAGTTTGGGAAATTAATGAATAACTCACCGCATCGTTGTGATTCCAAAAGATGTATGCGGGTGGCTCTGGACTTTGAAGAACGATGCATGTAAGATTGATCGTACTGCCGCGATCAATATAAAGATCAGGTCCACCGAGAATTTCAGTTGTCGGTTCTGAAACAAAAATAATAAATTCCACATTAAAGTTATTATGATTAATATTCGTAAAAAAAATTATTTATATTTGAAAATACAATTATTTAAATTTGTAAATTAAAAAAAAGGAACTTATTTGTAAAACGATTTTGTTTTATTAGTTATAAAGAAAATGAAATATTGAAGCAAATATAACAAATTCTCCCATTATATGTATATTTTGGTAAGAACACTTTTTCATATGACAGTGAAAGACAAACGAGGTGTCCCTACGAAATATGGTAAAATATTAACAATTCTCTGGTGTATGGTTACTGGGAGATAAAATAAATTCTATTATATAAGTATATGACCCTAGAATAATATGAATTGAAAATCTATAATCCTTTTATGTTTCTCAAATATTTAAGAATACATATATATTTGTATATAAACGGATTTTTAGTATACTATCCGTCCTTCGATATGTTTAGACAGAATTTTTTAATATTTATTTTTAATTTTACCCAATAATTTAATATTTTAAATTTTATTTCATTGTTAAATTTCGTCATTAAAAAAAATGGAGGTGGAATATCGAACTTGGCAGGAAATTTATTTCATTTGCTGACAAATGTTTTTTTTTGTCTTTGATCTTTAGGAATACGAAATTACTGGATTGTTGAGGAAGCAAATTGAGAAATCGAAGGATACATATAAAAGCTCCTATGTGGAGAGAATAAAGTGAAAGTAATGTGTAAAGAGGGAGGGAGGGTGGTTTATAGAAAAGAGCTAGGCGACTAGCCTATCCGTCATCATGGCCAGTGCACCTCACGGTTATTTCGGTCAATTCTAAAAAGCGAGAGGAGGCAACCCGGAAAATATTCAACCATCGATCTCACAAACTGACCTTTCGCCAGCAAGCAGATGCGATACCGGATAGAGCCCCTTCAAAGTGCTCTTTCGAGCTACTACAAGGGCCTCACAAAAGAACGTGGAATCAGCCGCGGTCTGTCGGCTATAAATAGCTCGTGTCGTCGTTGCCATTCTTTTTTTTTGGCATTGCAAATAAATTTCTCTAAAGTCCATTTCTCATTGTACCGAAAATCCTCTTTTCCTATTATACCCAGATATAAGAACATCGGTCAAAGCTTCAACGACAATCTTCTCTTTATATGGATAACGATTCTTACAAATGATTGCATTTCATTTTTTTTTGCAAAAATGTAAGATATATTTATTTTGTGAAACTAAATATTTATGTACCTCGTCTTGTCAGTATTAGAAAATGAATTAACAATATAAATTACAGAAGAAAAATGTATATTTAAAAAAATTATACTATTTACAAAAAATAAAACTTAGAAAAATTTTGAGAGGAACCATCTGTCTGTGATCTCTAATGGATTTTTTAGGTGATTCCATTTTGTAATGTATACCTTCGAGGTCTAATAATGTATATAGTTGTTATTTCATATGAATTGACTTAGTAATTAGAAAATTTAATAAAGGTCCACGTCTAGTAATTCTACCATTCGTGGACGCCGACTTTTTGGACGGCAGTCTTCAGGGTTGTAATTGACGGATTCTCGGGTGTATTTATTGTCATGTTGCTCAGCTTTTTGAAATAACTTGATCGCTATTTCTTTTCCAAATTTGTGAATGCTTGGTAAGTTGAGGTCTTTATGTAGTTGTATATTTGTTACAAACCAGGGTGCTTCAGTTATGGTTCTGAGTATTTTATTTTGAATGACTTGTAGTTTGTTAATGTGAGTTTTTGTCGCAGAAATCCAAGTACCAATATTGTGGGTGTAGGCTGGTCGAATAACTGATAGATAAATCATTCTTTTATGATTTATACTAAGGTGAGGATTTCTGAGAAGAGGACCTAGCTTTTGTAGTGCCATGAAGCCAATTGTCTTCATTTCTGTTGAATGATGATTCCAGATGAGTCTCTTGTCTATATGTAGTCCCAGGTATTTTGCAGAATTTCCCCAAGAAATTTTGCTGTCTATTATTTCTATTTTGTCAGGAGGTAGTTTGATTCGGTTAATAAAACAGTTAGTGTTTTGTCTTTTTTAATGACAATTTTCCATTTGGTAAACCTTAAGTTTTGTTGTAGTTTCTCAATGGCTAACTTGTGGCTGCGAGATTGTGATATTACGGTAGGAGAGGAACCAGTAAAAAAAATACGTATTTAATACGGTATTGAAACCGCTTAGAAGTGACGAATACGGTAAGACCAGGAGAAGTGAAGAAACGGGGCAGTGCGCTCTCCTTTTAAGTCCGCACTAGTGAGCCATGATTGGCTGGCGCCGCTACGCCTGCGCACTCACGAGTTTTCCCCACTACCGAGTGTCACGTGGTCCCTTACATTTACGCCTACTTGCGCGTCATTTTATTTTCTCTTCCTTTGTAATTGTTTCTTTTTATTGAAGTGAATAATAGTGCTAATGATGCCAAATGAAGAAATAAATGTGCACGAGTTATTAACAAAGTGGATACCGGATGAAGAAACAATTTCTTCCTTTATCGGTAAGTTATACACAGTTCTATCAAACATAACCTCACTTTATTATGCCTAATACTAAACTTATTCTAATTATAATTGTCATTATAAATTATTATTGTAAAACAAAGATATATATGTATGTGTAAAAAAGAAAATTTCCAACTAAATTTATCTTTGTTAGAAAATGTAATCGATAAAAAGTTGTTCGGTGATTATGGTTGAAGCAAAGAACTATACATAGAAAAAAGCAGTGATAAATGAAGTACTGAAGGAGTGTGTAAGGATAATTAATACAAAGAAGAATTAGTGTCAAATCTTATTCATTTTTTAATGTAACCCAAGGCGGAAAACACGAGAAAAGATTAATGTTCCTGAGGAAAGAAAAAAAAAGTTGTATTCCAGTAAAAGTAAAGAAAGAAGTATTTGTAACAATTTTCTCAATCTAAATTGATCGAGCAAATAACATTATTTTTTTGCTACGTCGCACAAGTTTTCTTTAGTTAAAAATATATTTCCTTTTTTAAATTTAATAATGTAATAAAATTAACAAAAATTTTAAATTTACAATATAATGAAATATATAATATTTATCGCACATGAAACATTGAGATAATTATAGATATATACCACAAAATCAATATTCATAAAAGACATCAATATATTATAATAGATATTAATAATTTTATTAAACTATAACTCAATGTTATTAAAATAAAACAGATTTAATATGTTTTTTTTATATCTTTTATAACGTATAGTAAATTTTATGTAGAGCGTAAACATTATATGTTTTTAAAATTTATTTTATAGCAAATAATATAAAGTATATATAAATTCCAAAAATTCTTTTTTTTTTTAAAAAATTTTTTTATTTTTATATTGATGCAAATTATAAGCGAATATGTTGATCGAAAAATTCTTGTCAAAGTTCATAATTGAAAAAAAAAATTAAAAAAGTGGATATTATTATCATTTTTTTTCTTATGAAAGGAAACAAATTGAAAATATCTGTTCGACAAGCATGTTTAAATAAAATTTTTCATTGTTATGACAAAAATTTTTGTAATCAATTAAAATAATTGCCAAATATTCATATATTACGTTTTGTGAGACATTTGTTTTTTGTTTTTTTAATTAAAAAAAGGAAACATTCGTAATGGATTTTATGTTTTCAGAAATTCAAAATGGCGTATCCAATATGGCGGCCGAAAAAATAAAATTCATTCGAATTGGCTTGAAACTTAGTACTCGGGGGTTTTTAGGGTCGCTAATTACGAATACGATGTCCGTTTTCAAAAATTCAAAATGGCGTATCCAATATGGCGGCCGAAAAAATAAAATTTATTCGAATTGGCTTGAAACTTAGTACTCGGGGGTTTTTAGGATCGCTGATTACGAATACGATGTCCGTTTTCAAAAATTCAAAATGGCGTATCCAATATGGCGGCCGAAAAAAATAAAATTCATTCGAATTGGCTTGAAACTTAGTACTCGGGGGTTTTTAGGGTCGCTGATTACGAATACGATGTCCGTTTTCAAAAATTCAAAATGGCGTATCCAATATGGCGGCCGAAAAAAATAAAATTCATTCGAATTGGCTTGAAACTTAGTACTCGGGGGTTTTTAAGGTCGCTGATTACGAATACGATGTCCGTTTTCAAAAATTCAAAATGGCGTACAAAAAAAATTACAAATCTTTCGGATTCGCTTGAGAAACTTGGTACTCGGGGGGTGTTTGGGGTCGCTAATTATGAATACGTAGACCGTTTTCAAAATTAAAAATGTCGAATCTACAAAAAAATTTTAAAAGTAAAAAAAATGTTTTATACAGATGTTTTTATCGTTAAATTATCGCGAGCTTAATTGAAACAGTCTTTTTTTTTGTAAAGAAATTTATTGCATGAATAACAATTTTTGTTGATTGAATAAAAAAATAAATTCCACGATAGAGGTTAAATATTATCAATGATAATTTTTCTGATTTTGAAATTCAAAAAATCTTGCTTTCATTTGATTTTTGTGTGTATATAAAATTATTTGAAATCGTTGGTAGAATTTTAAAAATAAAAGTAATTATTATTGACTACTTGAATGAATTCTTTGTTCTACTCTGGAATTTCTAGAGATTTAATTTCAACCCCTTTTGAATTTGGCCTACTTTTTCCTTTTATCTTTTGTTTGGATTTCATCATCCGCGCTACCAGTTGCCTTTATGTTCATCTATAGTAAAGCGCGCACGGTGGTTTACCACTGCTTCGCGATATCGTAAAATCGTATCGTCTGCTATACGTAATTTACCGACGTGGTTGAAGTTGGGTAAGTTGTGGTAGTGACAGATAGGGTATTATAGTTACTGTGATTTTGAATAGTGATTTATTTCCCAATGTACATATATATAGATATATATATATAGTGAATGATTCAAATGTAAATGACAATATGTCATGTGCACAATTTTTTTTTGTTTCATTCAGAAATGACAGTTCGAAATATTTTTCTAATTAAAATTTATCAAGATAAAAAAGAA